AACCACCGAAGTAGAACTAAACTGCGCAAAACACACTGACTATTGTGGGGTTACGAATACTCAGTAAAAATTATTAAATTGATGAACTGCTGTGTTGTAAATTGATGATACTGTTCGAAGGCTCTTAGGATTTTACCCTAGGTTGCCTAGTGGAGCTTAGTTGTAGTACGTTGTTTACAGTCAGCAAACTGAGCTAGTTGGTCTAGCTTTGCTACAACCAGTTTACAAAACAGTCAGCCCGAGGGCTAGCTTGCTAATCTTAACCGGGAGTCTCTGTCTCCTGGTTGACTTGCCTTCCGATGACATGTGAACTGTCTGACCATGGCTGTCCTCGTGACTAGGGTTTAGGGCTGTCCTATGTCCGTTGCTTAGGACTGGACTGTCCTGTCCTGTCCTAGATCACTGTACCGTCCGCTACGGCATTCTCGAATTCAAAATCAATAAATCATACTCAGAGGTACCGAACTGTGCTGCAACACTATATGTATGTTGTATGTATCTGTATGTTGCAAGTAGATAGTAGTTAGGTCTGTAGCATATATTATTGCGCTGTTGCATCAAAATTTCTGTTAAGACTTAACAGCACCGATCAGTTGGCACCGCCAGCATACTCTTGTAGAACAAACAGGTCGAATGCGCTAGAATGGAATATATCCTACTCTAAGTCCTATTTTAAACATAACTAAATCTTTCGTATCTAAAGAGACGATGATAGTAGTCACCATCCCGTATCTCGTATTTGTCTCCACTTACACCCGCAGCCACTCAGCTTATCCCATATTTTTATATTAGCACCGTTGTTGTGTTGTATCACAATGTGACAAAATTACAACACTAAATGGAACTATTGTATGTCGTACACACATACTGATGTGGCGACTATGCCATTGCAAAAGTCGTTGGAATTGAACTACGAACCTACACCTTCTAATTTGGCACATTCAACAGCTGACTGGCTTAACTCTGACGATACTTTTAATTAAAGGAAGTTCGAGTATATTTGGACAAGAAGCATATTAAAATAGGATTGTAATGAATAAAGTGAATGACTAAACCGAAAAGTCGCGAGTTCAGATCTTGTCATGGGATATTTTTGTTATTGGGGTTTCAAGTCATTCACATAATTTATTACAGGATGTTACCCACAAAGAACTTAAGATTATCTCGTATAAACGAGATGTTACCCTTTTTGGGAGGTGCCAAAGTATTCCCAAGATAAACCATGCAAAAGGTTATCACCCAATTAAGATACTTCGAAAGTATCCCACTTCTCTTTTGCGTAGAACGTAGAAAGGTAGCCAGTATATGTTCAGAGATGCACCTTTTGGGCTACAGGTGGGTCTGTTTACAAATTGCCACAAGCAAGGGTATACTGGGATGATATTACTTGATTACCTTTACCGTTACACGCGAAGAACACTCACATATAGTCACGTACACGACTAAATACACACAGCTTCATAATAAATGAAGGTAACTGTGAGTCGGAAATAGACAAAGTATCACATTAGAATATATGATATTCGGACATGGTATAGAGATAGATCCTGTGCAGGAAAGTCGAACAAGTTCTAGATTAGATTGCCTCCACGAATGTCAACAGCCATTGCGGGTTTATGACTTTAAATGAAGTACCTCATCTAGCGACACTTCCAGTTACACTATGGTAATCTAAAATATTTTTAGACAGCTGATTATATAGTCGCATACAAAAAAATTAAGATCTCTGCATAGTCTGTTCCTGTGACGAGTCAATCTGTAATCGACACGCCCTTTAGCTATACTATACCAAATATTGGTAAACAAATGACGGTGATGTTACCAGACTATTTAAAGGCTGTTGAGAGTTGTTAGCTACCGATTGGAGGCTACACCTTTGCTTATTCATACTAGCTCAAAAAACATAGAGCGAACATAAAATGAACATGTTTGCGACGTTACACAGCGCACAACTACCGGACTGCAGGTCCTCTATTCACCCTTCAAAATTGACGAATTCAATAATGGTCCGAAAATATACAAAGGATGGGCGAACCCGCCTTGGGCATTGATAAAATAACTATTCAATCATGTTAATGTAGAAAGCCGCTTTACCGCTGTGTTGGCCTCTGAGTGTTTTCCTCTGAGAAAGTCGTACCTTTGGTTCCGTGTGGTAGTTCAAAAAATCTTATTTCAATTAAGTTCAAATGAAATAAGACATTGGTTTTAATTTATATCTTTTAGAACTGAATATAAGTTCTTTTTGCAATAGCTTTAAAGTGTTGTATTAGATACATTTTGATTGCATTAATAGTCTGAGTATGTGAATAAAAATAGCTAACTCAAGAGGTATGGTTGATTTCTACTATAGCCTGCGTATACGGTTATACGAATCAAATATCTTTGTCCTACTCACGACATAGATTTAGGAATTTATATACTAAATAATATTAATATGAACTACTACTTGGTGGCCTGGAAACCGCTTTTCCCCCGAGGCCAATCTCTAGAATCCAGTATGTCTTTTTAAATATTATTTAACTTTTCTTCAGAAAGACCTTTATATATATTCAAAAATGTATTAAATTAATTCACTCATCTATAACGATGGCATGTGAGCCATGAATCAATAGTACTTCTAGCGAATACGACTAGTATTTTTGCTAAAGATGCATTCTGTGTGATCGAAGGAACAAGGGCTTTAACAAAGGGGAACAACACCGATTTTTCTTACACAAGCTGCCCCACTGCTCAATCCTAACTGACTTATCTTGTATTTATTTAGCAAACTCAAAAATGTTCCCTACGATCAAGCAATTGGCACAATCCCTCGTATTTGGCTCACCTATGTCAACCGAACGACTCAACACGCCCTTCGTATTTGGCTCACCAGAAAACAATCTCAGTTGATGATTAGCCAACTTGTTGTACATGCCTAGTGTGCATCACAACAGCGTCTGGTAGCCAATTGTCCTTAACTACTTGCAAAGGAACTGAATCTGGCAGCAGACGACGTGCCACGTCTAGGAAAACTGCCTTTATTAATACTGCTGATCAATCCGCTCCAACAATCGCTAAGACCAATCCCTAAAAACGATGACGCCTCCAAAACAATGCTAGGTCCTCTCGTCGAACACTTTGATCACAATCCTGATCATCTTTGTATAAACTAGGACCCTATGTTGTGTGGTCCCTGAAAATAGAAACAGTGGTCGTGATCTCGAGATACTGAACCAGGCGCAGAAGATTACGCTGAGTCTGTTTTCGAGCTGGTAGGTCTCAGCTCGCCCCCCACACATTCGTACGCCATAGTTATCTACTGGTGGCAGCACCTAAATGTGTCGATGGGCTCTACACAGTTCTAACAACAACTTCATAACAGAGGACTCGCCAATGGGGCATACATCGTGCCTGTCGATTAGGTCTAACTGTGTGTAATGTGTTTGCTATCCTCACTACATCTGTGTCAACTACGATACGACTTGCGAGCTTTTTTAAATGGTGCTTCTATGAAGGCATCTCCGTATCGGGCACAAGTGAGAACGATACGAGCTGTAGTCACCAGTCTGTATCGTACTATTCGATTCTATTCATGATAGCGCGTGGGGATGCGGAATATAAGGCTACGCAGCCTTTGTAACCACCACCACCTCGCAACGCTCTCTGGCTATTCAAAATTTATTGCGTCTTGGGTAGTGTCTTGGGTAGTGTCCTTATTGGACGCACATGTAATCGAAAAACAGTGGCACACATTCCGTACGGGGGTTGGGGGTTATTTGTGTCTCTTGCCGCCGTTAATTAACAGACAGCTACGAGTGCCTTCCACGAGACAATATGACTCGGCGCGTTCAGTATCCACGACTTATTGGTTTTCGGAGTTGACTGGTACGATCAGTACGTCGGCAAAGGTTGCCAATTTTTCCAATCGTCCTCTGATATTAGCTTGAGCGGACTTTTTTTGGGTTCGCATTGTCGAAAAGACATTGTACTAAAAATTCTACCTCCGAAACCGATGTGGGACAGCTGTGTTGATATTATTATCAGGTGCATGCTTGTTCAAGTAGTTCATTTCCACTTGGTAGTTTTGCTGTGTTCTCTCAGCTATTCTTTCGTTAGAATCAAGGTGTGCATTGGTTCCTTGTCGGTTGGCTGCCGGACGGCTAATATAAAACTGCGGCATATAGTCGAGTTGGCGGTACAGTACGCGTATTCTAATTCCTGAGCCATGTTTTCGAGATATTGTACAGCTCCCTGATCAAGATGTGAAGCGCAGTAGCTTCCATTTTTATTTTTTGCATTAATGTCATTGTGTTTTGTGAAAAACTTAGAACTACGCTGAGTTGCTGGCGGTGAGTATGCTGGTGAAAAAGATACCCCCATCGGTAAAGTAAGGAAGCACCATAGTTGTGTCGCGCGGTCTCAAAATTGCCACCTTGGGGGCTCTGCAACAGCTACTACATAGTACACTCCGCATTCGTAAGCTTCTATGTACCTGACAACACCAGACAACACAGTCTTCCTCTAGTAGTGTCAGCTTCGATGTTACCATTGGAGTTGTCACGCCTAGGATGATTCTCTATGTTATTGTGATGGAGCCCAAACTGGCCTCACACTATATTGAATCATTATCAGTACCTCCTTGGCCACGCTGTGCTCCCTCCATACTATGCATGTTAATACATCGATCTCTCTGATGGAGTGCGGTTGGCGCGGCCTGACTACTCGTCTGTATCTTCCTTCGAGTTGAACTCATACCGATGAAGATCTACTTCGTGTGGGTTCTTTTTGGTCGCACGTACGAATTTAGGTATTTTGGATGAGTTGTGCTCATTGGGGTTCACTTGCTGTTTCACCAGCGGTGCAAGTGCCGTGCACTCTGTCACTCTTAGCTGCCTAATTTTTATCACTTGGCCGGGGTCGTTGACTACATAGCTTTGCCTTAGTTATACACCTTCCCGATGATCATGTGAAAGGCCACAGATGTGCACGTTTGACTCCGTGTGTCAAATAGTTAGCTCTGCTTAAGATTCCGGATTCCTGCCCTTTATACCAATTGGAGTGACCACTGGTGGCTCTAATAGACCGCGAGGGGGCGGTACGTTGTCCTGACACCGCACCGTCGTGCAGGTATCCAGTGCTACCGCAAACCTCCAGCCTTCGTTGTCTAGGGCATACCACTGGAGTGTACGGTTGTGTTGTTGAGATGTGGAGGCTCCGGACATCTCGAGTCGGAGTCCAAAAAGAGAGTGGCGCCCAGTTTTAGGTACTACGTAGCTACGTCGCTCGATCTTCAACAGAATAGCCTCGGCAGGTTTTCCGAGGTCAGAGTGTGGTTGTAAAACTTCAGCGTTTGCCTATCCTAGGGCGGAGTGAACAGTTCCAACGTTGTAGTAGAAGGAGAAAACGATGATTGACATATGGCCGTCAATTTCATTTTAAATACTGTACGATTCTATGAAAGAACGTGGAGTATAAAGTAGAGATTTCGCCACTAGCCTTAGTGTGCCACTGTTGAAATTAAAATTTAACCTTGTCCCACAATTATGATAAACCCCCTACTGAACTACCCCCTATTCCAGTATAATATAGGATTGTAAACATTCTGAAAAATACATATTCATAACTAATCAGGGTCCTACACTATGCTACTGTAGGAGCTACTGTAATCCTGGCAGTGTTGAATTAGGGAGACTGCTGCGGCTAGGCAGTCTATTCGTCACCACGCCACTATAGGCACTCCAATAAAACTAAACCTCTAGAACAAACCCATACGGCCTTATTGATATTGCGCTCTACTACCATATCGCAAAATAATAGCCGGTTTATCCTTATTCTGATGTATCCCGTGTATGGGTGGACCTATGGCAACAGATAGATACACACAAGTAACTAGATTGGGTCGAAATCTCGGGTGCGGAGAAATGTGCAGGGGGTAGGGACTGATTAGAAACCGTGATACTATACTGTTGATAAAGTAGTAGTTCATGATTTAGCAACAATCTACCGTGAGCTAATTTCCCGGTGAATACGCTCAGTTCAATAAGGAGAGGAAGAACGTTTCGTTTGTTTGATCACAGCCGAGGGATCGACTGCAATTTATCGCAATAATAGGTACTGGTCGATACCACTTTAGCTGCCTTCCTTAAAAATATCTTGAGTGAAGGAATTGATTTCGGGCCCCGATGATATCTATTAAGACTGCATATTAGCATGTACATGTACTACTTCTGTATTATTGATGTGTGTACACATATGCTATATAACTATTACTATAGATAGTTATGTGTATGCATTGTACATGGGGTCTATGTATGAATAATGTAGACACAGATCAAGACATCGGTAGCTTTAATTCTTCATGCTAGTAACAACGCGAGTGACAGACGCGCGGAGTTTGCTGTCTCACGAATACCTTGGTAGAGCCCGAGTTCAAAAACGTACTACCGTAGACAGGTTTGATGGAAAACGTATAAACGCTAGCTGGTGAGATCGAGAAAATGTATCCCATTTCATGGCAGACGTACAGCGGCTAGTATGATTTTTCATATCCGTCGATATGTTCCGAATCCGTCTATATCTTGGTATATATACGTACCAAAGCCTCTGTACTCGCCCGATTTGTCAGCCGCTTGGAGAGGGGTATGTACACAAGAAGTTTTGCTATGTACACATCCGTGATTTGAACGTAGTGGCCGGACAGTATGCTCAGTATTTTCTGAAGCCATTGAAGAACTACAACCTCCATGGGCACATATTTCTGCTGGCTAAGTCCAGGCCCATTATTTCTCTCCTTTCAACTATGTATATATATTATACATGTATTTGTATATATATGCATATATATACACGCATCAATTACATATATACATATATGCAGATACATACATATACATATACACATAAATATATATATATAAATACATGTATAACTATATACATACATATACCTGTCTATATATTATGAAAGTTCAATATCTCCTCCCACTCCACGTCCTAATCCTGCGCCCGTTTGTTCCCGTACGCATCCCCAAAGTTGTACTGTGTGTTGAATATATTATACATGTATTTGTATATACACGCATCAATTACATATATACATACATGCAGATACATACATGTACATATACACACATATATATATATAAATACATGTATAACTATATACATACATATACCTATCTATATATTGTGAAAGTTCAATATCTCCTCCCACTCCACGTCCTAATCCTGCGCCCGCTTGTTCCCGTACGCATCCCCAAAGTTGTACTGTGTGTTGAGCTTGATTCTCGCCGTGTTCTCCCGTTGTGTCTGACTTACCACGCACGGGTTACAGAAGAATGCACAGCAACAGTCAGCACAAGCACTATAGCCCATGTTGTGGCGTGCTCGCACGGACTGGCGCGTGAGATAGGCACTGTAGCACAGACAGTCGTTGAAGGTGCACTCGCGTTCCTCGACCTCGGCCTGTGGGTGGGTGGTAGGATGTGCGTATATAAGCATATCATAGCAAGTGTGTATGTACGATTAGAAGGTAGAAAGAAGGGTGTATGTAGATATCATACCTGAGTAAGTGTGTATGCATGGATATCTTATGGGTGAGCGATGTGTGAGTATATCCGAGCTGATGTGTGTGAGACATGGAAAAACTGCTGCCAGTCCCTTATCTCAGGCAGCCACAGACGTACTGCAAGAGGTCAAGTTCATTCTCTTAAAAGGTTAAGTCTGTTAAATCAAACCAATACACTCACCTGCGTCTCAGCACTGACGATACAGGGGAAGAAGAAAGACATGAGACAGCTGCTGACAGTTCCTTCTCTCAGGCAGCCACAGATCGACTGCGAGAAGCCTGGGGCAAAGGTGGCCGTGAGGCCGTCCGGGGGAGGCATGTTCATAGTTACCGGGGCAGGTTGGGTGAACTTTGTTTCGTTCAGTGTTCGGCGGGGTTCCTGAAGTAGGTAGATAGATGGAGAAATGAGAGGTAAATGAATTAAACGCTGGTAAGTGGATTAAATTTCTTGCCAGGTATTAATTATACAAGTATGGTAAGGCATATATATATATATATAGAATAGCAGTTGACACGACAAAGCACCAGCCGGTGCTATTCTGCTGCTACTTATAACCTTGGAAGCTGGGTACAAAATCCCTGACAACCGCCGAATACCCTCCTAAGGAGGATCATATTACCATCACAATATCACATACACAATTTAGATTTATATACAGCTGTTCGTGTAGTCAACAACGATACAATATGCACGTTGTAAATACATACATACATACACACACACACACACATATATATATATGAATATTACTTTATAACTGACCTTTTCTTTCAGATCGACCGGTGCGAAAGATGTGAGGGGTGACATGATGATAGTCTCCAGTTCTTGGCAACGGCGTTGCAGTTTCTCCTGCAGCGTTCATATTCAATAGTATTAATATAAAGTCAGAGAAGGATTCCGGAAGGTCAAGGCATAATTTAACACAGTGTATTGGATTAGGATGATAATATAATACAATACAATGTAACAAAAATAGATAAGGACAAAACACAACAAACCAGAATACAATTATATGGTGTATTGGCAATCAAAGCCTGTTCGAGGCGCAGCGAAGAGCGAGAATGTAGCCTAATAAACTCAACGACGATACTTTAAGTATAGTACTACACTCATTAGATCAAGGGCTGAGGTTGTGCTTTCAGCAGGTGTTTCAATGCACACACGGCTTCACAGTACATAGCCAGCAACGCGAAGAGCATAGCGATTCATGCCTCACACAGAAACAACCCGCACACATATCCGGACATACAAAGAACTAAGTACAACGGAATCCATAGATATCAACAACGACAACAGCAGGATAGCAAGCGACTGAAGAGGTGTATCTAGGTACCTGGTATCATAAACAAGTGGCTTGTCTTATTCTCACGCAGCAGATGTCGTATTCACACCATATGTACATCCTATACTGCCCCCTTTGCTACCCGAGCACCCCACCAATACGCAGCCCAATATCAATGTTAATCCGTAACCCCTATCCAACACACTTAAGCGAACGCCTACCCGTGAGATGCGCAACTCCTCCATCTCGGCATTGGTCGCTGTCTTGCTGTTTGGTGAGAGGGCGTCTTCCGGCGCTTTAATTGGCGCTGGCGGGAGAATGGTGGGTGGTTTTGCGCCTTTTCCGCTTCGCGAGATAGACCGCGCACGCGCCATTACCTATATAGGATAGGCGGGAGGGTAGGTAAGAGAATAGGAGCAGGATGTAGCATACAACTAGTGGGATACGCTTGTAGGGTATGCTATGGGTATGGGGTAAACACCAATATCAGCTATCAAGACACAGTAGAATGTACTCTGAATCATAATCAAGGCAGCAGCGGCAGCAGTATATATATATATACATATACATATAAAACATATGTCAACTTTGATATTCAGTGTAGCACCCGAGCCGACAGAATGGAAATAGAAGTCTGGTAAGAGGCCGACCAATTCACGATCACGTGAGGTACAATTTCGACCGATTGGCAATCACATCGGTCAGGATTGGGGTGAGACACGGTAGCGGTAGTGGTAGAGGTTTGCATTCTGGCGCTCTTCTGCTGAACCGTTATATGTTAAGTAAACTTATACGACCTATCTCCTACAAACAGCCAGAAATGCGAAGGACCACCCCACGTGGGAGATAGTGTGGTGTCAAGTGTCGAGTCTCTGGTTAGGTTGGTGTGTGCTGTAGACGAAGATTGGGTCAATCTGATATCGCCACAGTTGGTGCCGAACCTGAACCAACAGGGCTGCTAAAGGAGAGGCTACATTGCTATATATATATATATATATATATATTTGTAGACATTAGCATATATGACAACAGTGATGTGTGTGTGATTGCTATACATATGTAGCAGCAATAGAGATGTGTGTGTGGACGTGTGGACGTAAAACAGAGCTAGAGTATGACAATTAAACTGAAGATTCAAAGACAGTCACACATGCATAGGAATTCATATATCACTGCTTCTAGATAGAACTAAGCGATTAAAAATCAAGTTGGACAAAGAGAGTACATTTAATATACATCCGTGTTTTGCATGGTGCGTGTATGTGTATATGTCTATGTATGTCTATATGTATGTATGTGTATATGTATCAATGTATGTGTATATATGTCTATGTATATGTACATATGTATCTATGTATATATATATACCCACATATACCTTTAACATACTTCCAGACCACATGATACCAGCAGCGATATGGTGATACTGTTTTCCAGAATGAATTTTCACAAGTAGAATCTATACTTCCAACATCTGGCCAGAAACAACACAGATTCGATTGATATCTTGTCTGATACGATACGTTTTCTACTTAACATTTTCTGGGATATACATACAAACGTTTGCTCGTCATGGGAAGTCTCCACACCACACTCTATTATTCCGTTTTACGTTTACAGTACGTACATCGACTCTGATTGATATACAAACACGCAAAGAGAATCTTTGATCTTTGCACACTCACCTTTCCCCTGAAGCTATCGTCGCTGTTGGTATTGATGTGTGCGTTGGTCTTGAAAGCATCATAATCCTCACCTTCTGACTCTTCTCCATCAGACACAGTTGTGTTGCCGTCTGTGTTTTCGATCAAATGTGGATTAGCCAACGGAACCCACACTATACTTATAAATAAACAAGAGACATAAATATATGCTAACACACGCACACACATATATATATTCACATACATATATATATATATATATATACAAATATACATACCATCGGGTTCCAACATCAATGAGGCACGTTTGGGCTGCGGTGATGTGAACGCAGGGGCGTTTGACTTTGCTCGTCTGCGTGCACCGGGAGAAGCAATGCTTGTAAAAGATGTCTTCGGTTTGTCAGCACGTCGAGATCCCATTGGAGAATCGGGTATAACTGAAGTGGGGAATGTGGAATAGAATTCAGGACTTGAATGCGAAATAGGTGTAGTTGCGCGATATGAATTAAATCCGAGCTCTAACTCCCGCTGGAGAATCGGGTACGACTGCAAATGTGGATCGGATTTTAGGATTTGAATTCGGAATCGGTATAGGTGGCGCAACAGGAACAAGATGGAGTGTGTTTGTGTAAGATGTCTCGGGGTTGCCAGCCCGAGCTCTACTACCTATTGGCAATAGGGTGTGAATGCGCCGAGGAATATGTAATATAATCAGAAACGTAGGGAGGTTCGCCAATGGAGGCTAAACGAGGGTGTGTTGTAGATATGTATTTGGCAATACAATGGATATATAATTGACATTATGATGGTCATTAATGGGCACAGATAAGGGGGTTGTGTGCATGTGGATGGTGTCTTGGGTTCGGCAACTCTAGTTTTACCTCCCACTGGCGAAGAATAAAAAACACTATTCAAGAATTGGGGTGGGGGGGGGAGATTAAAGTTTGATAAAGTTTGAGTTTGAGTGAACTTTGTAGTGCGACGGGAAAGGGTGTGTTAATCAGGATTGAGCTGCTAGCACGCATCAATGCGGGTTTCACATTTGGATCAAAATTATATCTACAAACACTTCGAAGCTTTGACTATAGAACGCCAAACACCTGCCCATAGAAGACGTTCCGCTCCAGCTCACAAGGCGTCTAGATTGTACCCCTTCCGTATACTCACAGCGAAACCCCCCTCACACACGCACACACACACACACACATATATATAGAAGACATATATGTATATATACATGAATAGACACACCTCGTGAGCTAGTCCCGTCACCATCCGCGTTGCGATCAGACTTAGTCGACCTTTGCCTACGCAGTGGGGATTCGGTGCTGTTCGGTACTTCCCGCTGTTCACTCACCCACATACGCATGACCAGCATACCTGCTGGACGACCGCCATCATCCAGCAGAGGGTATGGGGCCTCCACACCCTGGGTCATAAGCTTGCGCAGAGGGGTCTTGAACTTGCCAAGCTGCGAGTGAAACGGAAATAGAGATGTGTACGGTGAGTATGAGCATATATACGCGGCTATACACACACACACACACACACATATATATATATATACATAAAAGAGAAACAATATAGTATAAAGTGCGAAGCGTGCCTCTTAAGCCTTATGATATAAGCTTTCATAAAGGCGTCTTCTACGTGTCTTGGCAGCTTATTCTCATGTAGATGAATAAAAACGTATGTTTTCATCTACATGTACAAGTTTAATGCAGAAAGACGACATCGTCTATATATACAAATGAGTGATCGGGTAAAACATACTCTGGGGATTCACAATGTTATCTATAGAGCTAACGCCTGTGAACAAATAGTATCGGACATGTGTTGAGATTCAATAGTACTATACGGTGCCTTATTTGTCCTCAGACATCTTGGCGGTATTGGGCATTGCAATAGTACAAGTCTACTGAAATATGGTATATATGGCATGCGCCTACGCTTAGAGACTACATCGACCTGAACGGACCCATACACAATAAGGTTACAACAGATTTGCTATTGGAGAGTGGGAGCTGAGAAACGTTACAGTACTTCGAACGGATTCTCGAATAGTATAACAGACTAGCTGTTTAAGCGTGCATATGGACACCAGCGACACATTCACATACATACAACGTATGCGTGCATCATTCACTGATGCTTACAGAGACTGTGAAGCTATCCATGAATGCATATATACGAATACAAATATACAATAATATGAGTGCGCATGTATTTTTTGGAGTCTCTAATACTCTTTACCCTAAAACATAAATGCATGTATATATACATATATACATACATACATACATACATACATGTACATGTATATATATATATATATATACATACATACATACATACATACATGTACA